GAATAGACGAAGGGTTTGAAAGAATATTTACAACTGAGCATAATTATATTCCGTGACATAATGAAAGAAATCAATCACATGTTAACTGGAACGGTATCACCGGACAATTCAGTGAACTGAATCAACTCCCGGGTGCCTAGTGCCCCGGCAGTTGATTGTACTTATGTGCACTTTATTGTGCATTTTGGAATGTCGGTCAATCCACCGCCACTCGGCACAATCAACTTATGTTAAGGTTTAAAAAGTAATCCAGTTCCAATGTTCAAACCACATCTTTTGCGGAACGTGACAATATTTTGAGAATACACAACGTAGTTTATCATGGGTTTTTTTGCTATTCGAAAAAAACAGCAACATGTTTACAATGAACGAGAGAATGGATCCGTGGGTGCTCAGAGTTATTCAGAACAGGTGTTCTGCATTAGCACGGATGACAACAAAGGGCGGCTAAGTGTAACTCGCAGATTAACGCACTGCACTATTGCAAGAGCGTTCTTACTCTGCTAGCACAAGGCGAGGTTGCTGCTGTCCAAAATACGATCCAAATAAAAGTAGTGTGTGAGATCGATCGGAATCAGGGGACAAATCTGAATCAGTCAATAATTCGCACATATATCACATATATTACGTCTGATGAAAATGGGTACTATATGCGTCAAGTTTTTATCGGCCACTTTCTCCTCCCGTTCTAATTCAACTCTTGACACAGTAAAACAGAAAGGAGGGCACGTGTGTGTGTGTGTCTGTCTGTATTTGTGTGTGTATCTCGGACTCCATGATCTGAAGTGATACGTACAATTTGTTTGTGCGTGGTTTTCGGATAACTGTAATAAATGAAGCGCGAACTGAAAACCTAGGAAGCACTGGACAGATGCTTCCAACTGGGTGGGTCTCATTAACAATGCCAGTCCACCGACCAAACTTGGGATCGAACCCGGGACCTTATGGGTAGAACGCAAGCATGCTACCCACTCCGCCACTGGGCAGCTGATGAGACCGTTTTTCGTTTCCCATTTACACGATTAGGCATAACCCATTTTTGCGAGCAGATTGCAAGCCACAGATCTTGCTCATTTCACCACTAGCCTCCGGGGTTTTGACTCGGTTGGAAACAATCACAACTTGACTAATTATTTCAAGTGAGTACTGGAGGATTTGATACAATTTCAAAGATGAATTCGTTGTGTATATAGCAAATGAAACTTGAACGGAAAAGCTAGAAAGCTTTGGCCCCAACCAGGTCGAAACAGCTGTTCAGTGCTTCCTAGCTCTTTAGTCTATGTTTCATTTTTGATATGCATGACGAATTCACCTTTGAAATTGGATCAAATCCTCCAATAATCACTTGGAATTCTAATAAAGCTTGTCAGCGTTCACTCCATTAGAGGAATCACTTGGTTTGTGATAGAGGGTTTCACTTTTCAACGCTTCACCAGGGCGATTGACCACGTTTATGTTCTTTACTTCATCGAATGATTATTTGACTGATAGGGGATATTTGTTTTGGTTTTCTACAATCTAGGGATCGGGAGATTTCGCGGTCGGATTGATTTTACGTATGCACTCATTGTTGTTGATCGATACAACAACTTGGCACGAAGGCATGATCTGTTCAGTAGTGGACATTTCGATCAATGTAGGACTGACTAATAAAGTGACCGATTTCCGATTACTAACAGTTGCACATGGTTCCATCGGTTTTCACTAACTAGGTCGTTCCGGTGTTAGGGACCTGCACTGCTTGAGGTTTCGTGACAAAATTTGAGGAAAATGTTTCTTGAAATTACTAATGAGCAACAGTGGTGCATTTAAAGATCACTAATTTCTGTTTGTTTGTTTTCAACCTCATCCACTGGTACCATACTGCGTGTATTTCTTTCTTAACGGATAACATTGACAACACCGCATATAAACTAGCTCGTCCGTACATTTCAATTTCTAAACTGGGGCAATTTGGCGCGAGTCCACCTGTGAAGTTCTCTATTGCACTATCAGCTATTTTCCACGAAAAATACGTCACTTCATTCGTCTTGTGTTTCTCTATTCTGTAGAACAGAGAGCGAGCTGATGCGTTGCATGCTGTCCGTCATACGTGGCGTGCGCTAATCCCACGTTCTTACAGGACCCCTTTCACGTCTAGTATAGACTTTACTGGAAAACCTTTCCTCCATAAGTTGTCCATAAGATCTATATAGTTTGTTGCTCACTCACAATTATTGCCGACAATCCTTCAATTCCCAGGGGAAATGTGAACAAACGTCCTTATTGGAAACTTTAATTTTTGCTTTCTATGGTATCTTTTGCACCAACAAAAGCTGTGTATATAAATGATTAGGTCAGTTCTTAAAATACAGAACAAGATTAAAAAAATACATCCAAGAAGGATTTTTTTCCAGTTTATCTTCGTCAAATGTCCTTGTGCTCCTAATACACTAGTATTTGCAGACGATGCTTAAATCTGGAGCACTGTAACACACCCAACACTCTCCACTCCAACAAGGACAACAAGCAACAAGACAACAAACATTCCAGCAAGCGATCATTGCAGCCCACTGATGATCAATCGCCAATAACATTGAATTCATCGTTTCCAAATGCGAAGTTATTTCTATGCGTCACATGAATCGTTTCTCCTTTGGTCTAAGGAACTAAATACCACCTCATGTCACTGATGAAAGGGGTTTGGGAGATATGGTACAGGAGGACGTAGGATGTTCCACGCACTGTGTTAGAGCATCATCCATGTCTCTAAAGTAACTTGAATTACTCAGACTTGTTTTTGGGCAGTTCAAATGAGCGCTGTTCCCATGCTTGCCATCAGTGTTCGTTCGCCCACAAACGGTATAATTGACTCCAGGATAATATATGCCAAACTAGATATTTTATTGATATTAAGAGTCGTTGAAAAATTGCGTAATTTTTCGATGATGATCTGGAAAACATTATGTTTCAACACCCAACGACATAATATATTATCCTGAGCTCATCAAAACATCACATTATTCTTTTATGTACATGGACTAACTGTGATCTTGTGAATCGTGTTCCAAACCCAAAGTGTAAACACCCAATTGGGTTTCCTAAGCAAAGTCTGCAAATCTTTCCCATAATACACATTTGAATTTGAAATTTGAATCCTGGAATGTTAGCTAAACTTAAGTAATGAAAGTATTTTTGTTGAAGTAAATATACTTGCTTGAAAGTAAGATATATGGAAAAATAATCCAGTGGGAGAGGTTTCAAAACTGCGCAGTGCAAATTGCTGACTATTTACAACCGATATGGCTGTTCTTTCTCTCCTAGAATTAATTAGATGCGGTTGAGTTGAGATGGTCCCTTTTGGTCTAACGATAATTGCTGGTTGTTAGATTTGAACAGAATCTCATAATGACTGCTTCATAATGAAGTATTTCATTTGAAACAGAAATCACGTGATGTTAATGTGAGCAACTGCGCCATCCGATCGGTCATTGCCACGTGGGTGTTGAGACGCACGGCTGCCTATGCTTGAAAAGAAACCTGGAAGAGGCAAAATAAGTGAGGATGGGGAACTGCACACTAGCGGAATGCTTTGCGCATTTCTGGTTGTGTTTTCTAATTCATATCAGTAATTATCACTATTGTTCCATGAAAAACAGGAGGTTTTCTCAAATTATAAAGGGAAAATTTTATAGGTGGAAAAATCTCTCGTACAGATAGGAAGGAATGCGTAAGCATGATGAATGAGGAACAGTAAGCTTATTTCATGATACGATGATTTGTCGCTATAGGCACAGAATATAATTTGAACATCTCTAATCTCAGATGCGCAATATCACATATTTGTCCTCAGATCAATCTACGTTTTCCAACGAACGTCTAAATAAAAGGAAGTATCTTAGAGAACAATGTATTTGGTTATATTGGTACCCAGTACGTGAATCTGTGTGGAAAAAACGCATCTCGAGTGTTACGTAAAGACTTAGAAACCGGAAAATGGTATTGAGCAATTAAAATTGATACAATATACCCGATTAGGCACTGATGTACTCTCTCTATCTCTCTGTTTTCGAAGGTGCTTGTCCACAAACAAGAACAAGGAAGGAGTTTTTGATGATATTTTGCACAAAACATCATACGTTGGGATTGCGGTTGTGTGAACTGCAATCCAAGGGGATAAGATGATAGGTAAGTTTTTCAAAAGTATATATATAGTTATATATATATACATATTTACGTACCAGATCTAAGGCCCTTTATTCATTTCATCAACACACGAATTCATAGGTCGGTATAATTTAGATTGGTCATCAATGTCACGTACTCTCGCGTATTTAAATGGGCATGTGAGACGAAGAGGGATTTGAATGCAATCATGTTTACAAAGAGATGGTGATGGACAAGTGAGTTGCTTAGTTTGGGTTTGATTATTAGCCAAGGTTAAGTTGGATAACAAAAGTTAACACAAAAGTGAACTGGTTCAGACAATTAGTGAATGTGTTTAGAAGGGGATGAGAGGGCAGGTTATGTCACACACTATGATAGAGTGATCTTAAGCGTGAAGTCATCCCTACCACGACGAGAACAATTGCGTCACAAATGTTGTTTCAATACGTGATTGCCGTTTCAACTCACAAATAATTAACATTTGACTCAAACTGTAACGCGATTGGCAGAGGCCTGGATGACCAATGGGCTTGTTTTGCAAAATATTATTTAATCTCCCTGATTTCTGTCATTAAACGGACTGCTGTTTCTGTGGTCTTTTCCTCGTGTCTCGGTTACATGGGATTTTGCGTGCAAGTTCCAGTGTGATCCAGTTCTCATACCTCGTTGCTTCCGAGTGTATGGTTGACTGGAAGAACTGAAGATTGTATTTGAAGGTTTGAAGTCTGAGGGATAGTCAGTTCAAATGTTTCTCGATAAATAACTATCGCTTTCAAAAATCGCATTGTTGTGCGAAATTCTGTCCTGTGTTAACATCGAACGCTTCGGATGGGTCTACCGGAGTCTAACAAATGCTACTCAATCGCAATGAATGGCAATTTCTCTCCGCGAACACCAAGGTGTTCCGAGATATGTTTGCGCATTTCGGTTGCCAGACACTGTTCTATGTCCTCTGGATCCAAGGTGCATTGAAAAGAACAGATACACTTGAAGATGACACTAACATATTCTCACATTTTGTTCGTTTGACATAACGAAACAAATGTGTGTTTAGAGGTGGATGCGAGTCGGCGAAATTGATGGCCAATAACAATTTTGTGCACATATCTCTTTTCGTGTTGTTGGCAATGTATAGTGAATTACGCGGTGAATTATGTCCTGTCAATAGCAAACGAAGCGTAAACTAAAAACGGTAGGTAGCACACGACAGCTGTTTTAAACCTGATTGGGTTTCATCAGTCCAGTGCGCAAAGCCATCCAACTAGGGGTCGCAAAGGTTGGATGCAAGCATTCGCAAGCCAGTTGGGCATCGGACAACACGATACAGCGCAATCCAACTTTACTAGCTTGTAGTGGATGTAGCGCCGTGGCCCTTTTAGCTTTGGCCTCCAGCGTGAGAATTTGGTTCAGTCAGCATTGTTTATTTGGGTGCAAACCAAGGTTTTCGAACAAAACGTTAACCACATTGCTCTGATTGATTTAGCAATATCATTCTTTATTGGTGAAAATGTCGCAAGGGAACTAGACGCGAAGAGTTCAACCCCCCCCCGTCCCGCCACGCGTACCGCTAGTATTTTGCAACGCGTACCATATCTGAGCTTTTTGATCTCCTTATTTGTCGGTACGCATCGTTCTCTCAGTTTCCAATTAATAATCGAATCGATTAATTTGCAATTCCAGTGCGATGGATATCTTTGTGATAACCAACGAAGAGCCCTGGATAGCTGTATAGTCCTGTTTAGGACTCGTCAGCAGTGGGTACATTTTTTTGTGTCCCTCTCAGGATTCGAACTACGAACATTCGAATGTTGATCCAGGCCTACATGACGAGGCCTACCCTGGAGCGGCGCGTTACAGTTTCTGGACACCTGCGATCAGTCGAATTTCAAAGTTGACGTCAATAACTCGCGCACTCGTCGCAGCTTCTGATTACACGCCATTGGTGGATCGTGCCAGCCAATCCAAGTTAATGCAGACAGAGACAGAATTACGCTAGCCATGCTGTAATACGATTGATGAAAGCCTAGATAACCAATGATCTTCTTTTGTACAGATTATTTAATTGCCTTCATTTCTTCACACAGGATTTCTCTACATAATTCAGCTTTCTCATAGACTCCATGATTCTATCCTGGTTTGGTAACAGTCTTCCAATACCAATAGTACACGGGAGAGGAAGAGAGAAGAGGAGTGAATTGCATTCAGTCAATCGTCAAATTTGAATGAGATCGACCGTATGAACTACAGTCATTATCTGATTATTTTTCAAACGACTTTGAAAATCATTGTATAGACGATTGGAGTTCAAACCGGAGATTCAATTGTACAATCGACAAGCAGTCTTGGGCACATTGTGAACTTGTGAATGGGAAGTGATTGAGCTACAATGAACATGCAAAAATATTACTCTGTTTGCACCTATATATATATATATTACTAATTATTACTAAACGTAACCTCATTCAAATCATAAATAGTGATCGGCCAATCAGAGAGTTAGAGAGGATCTAGATTTGATTAAAAACAAATCTACTATCTGAGAACTGCCTCTACTGTGACATGGAACAAAAAGTGAAGTGAATGAATTCGCCGAATTCCAATCGTTCGCGATTGTAACATTGTAAGACAGTGGCACATCCGCACTGATCTGTTCTCTCCACGTATTCGAGAGAACATTTCCTATAGCTGTTTTAATCTGCCCCTAGACACACAGACAATCGTTTCGGATCGATATTCGCGTGTGCTCAGCAATCAAATGGTTGTGATAATCATGGCTGATTATGTCGAAAGTACGGTGGAACGGACAAATCAGTGGATAAAGAAGTTAACTTCATAAAACTGTTGTCTGTGACATGTAAGCAGCATTACAGATCCGTGAGTTCGAAGAGCTGGATCGAGAGGACCAATTCTCCGACATTTGACGACCGCACTTCTAACTGATTTCAATCATCTGAATATTCAGTTGAACTCAATTTAGGGTAAACTAATACTGTCAAATTTGCATTTGAAGTAGACTTCTAAATATCGATTGATAGTCTGATAATAAGTGGTTTATTCAGTCACGGGATTTGTTTCCATTTAAGTTAGGAAATTGTTTCAAAAGCGTTTGAGATCACATTTTTAAATTACTCCTCTTTCGAAAACCAAATTAGGATAGTAGTTCCGTTTTTGTCCTGTAGTACGCATTTACAATGGTATACACTTGGATCGCACTATTTATAATGAAACGGAAGCATAAAACTGGTTAATTTTAAAGACTTCAAGTTATTTTAGGAAATCAAACTTTTATCGCGTAGCTATGGGACCAGGAATGATCATGCAGTCCACAAGTTTTACCGTGCTATTTTCCGAAACATACACTAACCGGAACTGCCTACTTCCCTGGGCATCAATGGGTCTCAGACAGGTGAAAAAATTAGTTCGCGCGGTCCTCGACTGTGATCTGGCAAAACAAACCAACATTCACGGTGCGCACAAATCCCCAAATGACCCGATACACTGACGCAAATTCTCGCATATCTATTCTAGTCGTGAATGATATGCTTCAGAGCTAGAACCCACGTCAAACATATATTACGCATTCTCAGCCACATATAGATGTGTTTTTCACATTAACCAACAGAGTGGATTACCCATCGAGGATTGTGAACTTCGATCGATATCCCATTCTGTTTCACACATGCTTTCTCCGGATACGCCTACAAGTGCAAACAAAAACTTTTGGAGTGCGGGTTGCGGGAGGCGAGTGATAACAGATGTCAAAACGACTGCCTGGTAAAACTGCTAATCGAAAGATAGACCTGGAGGCTATTCTGTTCGAAATTCAAGGGTAATGAATAGACATAATACGAGTGTAACGAAGCTCCCAGTCGATCGGATTTCGTCGTTGGTATGATTAATAATATCACCACATCACACACACACATCACATGCGTCTGTGAAAGTTAACTGACAACAGATAAACGAGAGCGCACACAGCCTGACTCGGATGATGAATGTAATGTGTAGGAAGGCGTCAGCCTTGCTAAATAGTTTCTACCGCTTGACAAAAGCTCTTTATCTTCCGCTCTTGAGCTAGGACGAAGAGAAGGTTCCGACAGTTGCAAAACTGGTAGAGTAATTGGGTATGGAATAAAAATTTACGATGCGAATAGTGAGCGATTTCGCACGTTTTGGGTCTGCATAAGTAGAACTAGGCGGTTTACCTTGAAGCTTGTTGATATGTAGTGGGATTAATGGGGTCGGGGGTAGCGGATTATGTCAAACTGGTCTTTCACGTCGGAAATGGAGTGACCGGAAACCCTGATAAATGGTTCCGGGTGTCACATTCTGTGAAGCAGTGAGGCACATCATTCGATTTGAATACATTGAATTCTTGATGGCTTAAAGCTGAAACAGTTAGCAATATCCGTGGAACAGGTTGAGGAGTTATCAAAAGTGATCATTTCACGGCCACGACTCCCAGTATCAGTATCGTCAACAAACTCAGACGATCAACTGACAGTGTATGCTCGCATTATATAAATGCAGAAGAAAAATGGAATAGAACACCAGTCCCAGAAAAAGCAAAGCTAATTATCAGAGACAAATACCATTTAGAATTGTAAAACTCAGGTCAGATATGATCACTCGAAATTCTTAACGCACCATAGCTTTGACCAGTTCCAATGGGGAACATGAAACAGTTACTGTTAATCGACAGATACCAAAGCAAAAGTAGCAGCAATAGTTTTTGCGGTAGCTACCTGCATCTGCCTCGTCCCCAACGTGATTCGCAAAAGGGACAATAAGAGAAAATGCTCATCATGATATGGTGAGATCATTCTAAAGAGAAGCATGAATCGGACAGTTAGGAATCAATCGCCATCGTTTCCACTTGATTGAGTCGCATCAGTTGCATTTGCACTCCGGAGACCAGGGTGCTGTGATGGGCGTTGGGTAGTGCCTCCACAAATCGATTGTATCGTAACGTGAATTGTTCGGTCGATAAATTGGCGCAGTGCTGCTGCTGCTGGAAACCAACCAGTTCAAAATAGCTGTCCAGTAGTGCTTCCTAGCTTTCCAGTTGTTAGTGGTAACAACCGGAAGAAAACACTTTTGAATATACCTTCTACTCAAAAGTGATTCACACGGTGATCTGTGAAGCCAAATCGAACTATTCTTACCACACTATTCATGCACGGGTTACAGGCGCACCAAGAAAGCTTCGCTTTCGTTGAAGATTTAGGACGGACTGTTGGTTTTAATTCATCAGAACTGACCATTCTTCAGAATTCACCTTTACACACATTTCTCAGATCTGCCAGCCAACCATACCCTCGGAAGCACAAGACTCGAGTTTCGCTCTTATTAGAGCTCATCATCGTCCTGTCTGGGATGGGAAATTGCTGAGTTTCTCTCAATCTTCTCTTCTTTATTTGCTTTCATTTGCTTAATTTTAGTAAGTTGTATCGGTAGGTTAGTCACTGATTTTACCTCCAGGAGATGAGCGGACGCAAAACGACTGGAGTAAACCTCGAACATCGGTAGAAATTCACACAATGTAACAAAGGTTCTTCTCATGAACCCTAGTCATTGGATCAATCTACCGCTAGCTCTAGCTAGCGGCACATATATTCCAACACTGCGGTGCCTTAGAAACATGCAATCAAGTCCCTGCAGCCATATTGGCTTAGGCCGGACCCACAACACCAAATCAGTTGTAACACGGTCAGTGAATGTTTAATCTAACCTGGAAATTTGTGTGTGAGAGAGTGAGTGAGTGAAAGGACTGTTCTAGGGTTTCAGTCTCTCTGCTTTTCACTGTCCATATACTTGTCTAAATTATCGACACGGCGGTTCTTATATTATTCCTACATATAGTTCATCATTTTTGTTAATCAAGCAATCAATAATTATTTAAAGATTATTGACTTTAATTATGTTCACGTGATAGATGCATGAATGTGTGCATCAATTACCTGGAGGTACACGATCGGTTTTGTGATCTTTTTGTTTCCCCTCCAAATTTAAATTAAACACAACAAACTTCATTTGCATCTCAGAGAATTAATTTGAGACTGAAAGCTGAAATTGGATCACACTGGATCACAAAAACTGACAGTTGAAGACAGCATTGATTCTTTGTGGCTGTGGGATGAACTGCCGGAGATAAGCAAGTCAAGTTTGTGTCACATTGCATGTGTCTTCTGTGTGGCTGTGTGTCCGTGTTTGTACTAACCAGAGGTGGAATTTATCAGAAACAAGTTTGAGCCTCAAAACCATGTAGTTGTGCTTCAAAATTCCCTAGGAGAAATCTGCGTGAAATCATATTCAACCACGATTCGGTACATGATGAAGAACCAATCAGAACGGATTGTGATACATTCATTTAATTGACCAGGTTGAGTGGAAAACTATAACACGATGAGGGTGAGTGACTTAACCACATGAGTACATAACGAGTTCGCCTGGATTGCGATTTACAGTTTATGAGCAGCTCAGTCAACCAATTCGTCAAACTCTAATCCACATGTGATACCGAGCGCTAAATGGAATGTCCGACATGCCTTACTTGACAAGTTGTCGTTTTCATGCATTCATTTTGGCTAGTAGTATTCAGGATTATTGTAGTAAAATCATGTGACTGTCGGTCAAGGTAACTGCGAGCCACCTCATTCCATAGAGACCAATCACTCACAAATCTGCCTGCGTATCTGTGAACCCACGCTTACATTTACAATAGCATCGTGATGGACACTCTGTAACATGTGATATATGTACAGAGAAAAAACTGTAGTCATTTGATGCGAGATTCAGAACAAGGTACATCATCGAATATCTTTCTATAGTACAAACCCGTCATGATTCTGTCGAGAAGAAAAATAGCCGGCTCGCTCTCCCGATCAGATCAGATAGCCTGAACGCTTCGTCAACGGAACGAAAACCGACTTTTTAATTCTCGTTTCATCACTGTACAATTATTTGTTCGGTTTCCAGACTCATGACTGAAATCCTGTTTCATCGGTCATCCCCCACGGTCCGTGACATCGATGGATCGCCCCTCGAGGTGGAGCAATGGATACTTTTTACCTAGAGACTTGTTTATGGCCGTTGTGCATTCGGACACCAGTGTTAATTGATTTGAACTGACCATAATTCAACTTGTTATTGGTCAGATCAGTATATTCTCAGCGTTCTAGACGTCGTAAGTAGGAAATCAACGACTTCGAAGAGAACCCACCCGAACCAGCTCCCGGTAGCATACATATGTCCGGGACACACCCAGACGATCAAAACGCGCGTACTTATCTTCTTCGAGAAACCGACTGGCGTCATCTTTTTCAATCATGCTCCTAGATCTGTGTTCACCAATGAGAATGAGCTATCCCCAGCTGGAAGCAAAACAGCAACACATTATTGGTAAGACCAGTAAAGTTCGGCATTCTGACATCGAAAATACNCAATCGGCTCTCATACCATGGCTGAACCAAATTGCCAATTCATGTTTCTTCAGGTGTCGTTTTCAGTGATAGTCAGCCATTTATAGCTACCGTTTGGAGCAGAAACATTATAGAAACCCGAGGGTTTCTATCCGAGGTCCAGGTAGTCTGTTAAAAAAATAAGATATTTTAGATTCACTGTCCGTTCTCAGCAGTAAACACGTTTACTGGATACAGTGTGATAACGCATTGCATCGATTTGCTCACTCACGCGCATTACTCCTGTTTGTGCATCATCTTGCTCGTTTTCCTGTTCCCTCACCATGTTGCCTATTNGTTACTTGTGACTAGTCGTGTGGGATAATTGATATTGATTGATTTGAACTGATTATCCGTCGGACTTCAACTTCACGCCTAATCCTCGGTTCATCGGTTCAACCATACACTTGAAAGCACTAGACTCGAGTTTCGCTCTTATTAGAGCTTATCATTAGTGCATATTCACCGTCCCATCGTCCGTGATTTGAACTCCGGACCCATCGTATGGAAGGTGTGTGCGTTACCACTGTGTCAATCGGCTCTCATACCATGGCTGAACCAAATTGCCAATTCATGTTTCTTCAGATATCGCCTTCAGAGATGGCTAGTCAATTGAATTTGGCTCAACAGCAACGAATTAACAGTAAGTCAAGTGCGAATTACCAATCAAGCCTGGTAAATTCGCTGGCAAATCGTCCGGTAACCTGCATGGAAGTCCTGACTTGGTGGGAGGCTTTCGATTGGAGTTAACAGTATGTCATCTGTGTCTCCCTTCGTTGCTGTCGGGCCAACAATGAACTGACTGACTATCACTGAAGACAACACCTGAACAAACATGAATCGGCAATTCGGTTCAGCCCCAGTGATTGGAACAATGTTAACGATTGTTTTAAGTCAGCGACTGAGAAGATTAAACGAAATGTTAACATCTCGCAACATTTGTCTTCTTTCTGTTTTGATGAAATGGTGTTAACGCTCACGCCTTCAATGGGATGGATCGGTAGTTTAAACCCCGGTGAGGACTGTGAATATGCACTACTGATGAGCTCTAATAAGAGCGAAACGTTAGTTCAAATCAATCAATATCAATTATCCCACACGACTAGTCACAAGTAACTGTGAGTTAAATGCAACACCAGTGTTTTTTTAACGAGCGTTCTGAACAAATTGAAATACGCACTCTAGTCAAAGAGATAATTAGGCTTAGCACTGTTTTTCGTTCAAGAACACAAGTATGATCATTTTGATCGTATGTCTGTCTCCTGGACTATGGGGTTCTATTGCGGACAACACTACCGGGAGCTGGTTTGGGCGTATAGCCTTCGAAGTCGTAGATTTCGTATTTTCGATGTCAGAATGCCGAACTTTACTGGTCTTACCAATAATGTGTTGCTGTTTTGCTTCCAGCTGGGGATAGCTCATTCTCATTGGTGAACACAGATCTAGGAGCATGATTGAAAAAGATGACGCCTGTCGGTCCACTGTCTGCTGTTTACGCAAATCACTTTGTCAGATGGCCTTGTGGGCATTGTGAGTACAGTTTTGCACATGGTTAGATAGACCTATGTGTAATTTGTGCGGGGTAGGTGGTAGGGGATGAGTTCTCACATTTTTGTGATCGATGCACTCTCTGAAGTCAACAAAATTGGATCGGTTGTAGCTGCGTACACTAAAGCGTTTTTGTGAGAACGACAATCATCGATACCATTCATTTTACCGGTTCACGTTAGCCGATGATCAGCGGATCGCGGTGACAAATTTCTGACAGTCTACTTTGAATGTATTTATTCCGTTGTAATGTGCGGAATCATTGTATTGAATGATTATTGAAAATCAAACCAAATGAGGAAGTGATTTGCTACAATCAGCCGTAGTCATAGATGAATGAATTTCACAGTACTAAAGGAATTCTTTAAACGCCATGGAACTTCAAAATAATCAATTTCTTCCATCCTATTTCTTCGCTAACAGTGTACTCCTCGACACCCGGACTCACCTTGTATTTGAATCGAAGTGCGAAACTCCTCGGAAATCCACGCCTCTTTGGCCAAAATACTGATCAACGAGAGTACGGTGCTCAGACCGCAGAGACTGACAATGAGTATGTTGACAATGAGAAATGTTCTGAGCTTCACATTACTGGAAAAGCTGTTCGGATTAGGCTGATCCACTTCCAACGTCAGATCAGAGTTCATTGTGCTTAAATGCGGACCACGCATTCGGGCGATCGGCTTCTGGGCAGGAGAAATAAATATTCCTATTCTCGACCAATCACAAATGCCCGAGCGAAAGACCAATCGAAAATCTGAGGAAAATCCATTTTTCTATTGGAGCACGAATGGTACCCATCAATCCCACAAGCAAAGATGTGTGTGAAATTTGTAATTCGTTTATGTTATCCGTATAGAACTTTATTCCACAGAAAAAAATCCTCACTGAACTGGTGGTATTGGTACTGCTTCAAGACGAAAAGAGTTTTCAGTACTTGGAAAACTTTCATTGTGACATTAAGAAGAAAATCCGTTGGGCAAAACAGACAGTTGCTCGATTAACTTCTCATCAATTGGTCAGTAAATTTTACAACTAAATTGAAAGAGAAAATCATCCATCATGGCGGATAGTTTGGTGCCTCCGGAGAAAGATGGCAGTTTTCATAACCATGTTACCATGCACTTTCGTGCATCGTTTTTGGTTACTGTCCTTTGGCTGCTCAGTTAGATGAAGAAGTAAGGGACGAACAGAAATACTGATTTATATATAACAGAGCAGAATGAAGAGTTGAATGTTGAGAGTAAATTGAAGCCAAAGATAGCGAAGTTATATGGACTGATGTTACAAGAATAATGAGTAGATACATGAGCACCACCGTTTCACACACTCAGCCATATCGCTCAGTGTCTCTAACCATCGGTCACCATCATTTCGGGGTCCTCAGCCAGGAAGCCTAACAGGGCCTACATGACCCAGTCTCGTGGTTATGATTTTCAGACCCTCAAGCCAGGTTCTCATTTAACAGCCCTTGATCTTTTTCTAACGGCTACCTGCCTCGGCAAACATCGTTCGCCGTGGCAACCTATCTGTTGACATGCGTAGCACATGTCCCAACGAGCGTGACCTATGGAGGTCGACCACTTGCTCTACTGAACGACCTCGATAATCCAAAACTCCACGCCTAACCTCAGCGCTGTTCGTACGGTTACCCCACAAGACTCGTGCAATATTTTACATAGAATTCGGTGTTTGAACACCGAGAATCCATTTTTATTCTGTTCCTGTCATGGCCAAGTCTCTCTGCCCTGTAGAGCAGGACTGGCTGAACTACTCAGCATTTTCTCGGCCCTTCACAAACAGCCGGATGTCGCGCCCGCTCCACAAATGTCTCAAGTTGGCAATTAACAACCGAGCGTACCGACACTTCATCTGTGTTGTGTCCACCAGGTGAGATATAGCTGCTTAGATAGCAAAATTTGTCTATATCCTCTATTAATTCTTCAGTCAGGATGAGGTCGGAGGCAGGATCAACCGAATATTGTAACAATCTTTTTACACTTCGCAAGTGCAAAACGCATGCCGTACATGGCTACACTAGCACTCAAAGTATCCAGAAAAGCTTAGAACTCACATGGATCTTCACTTAGTAGCCAGATGTCGTCTGAATACTCTCGATCAGACAGTTTGCAACCTGGGAGAAAATCGATGCCGCTATCGTCGCACGAGGATACGGCCGTTTCAAAAATTAAATCTATGACGACGTTGAATAGAAACGGACAGAAGGAGGGCAACCTTAACGAACACCACTCTCCGTATAGAACCTCGATTCAAAGTGTCTTGACTGCGGACTCGTCTTCGGCTGTTAGCATAAAGAGATCGCAAAATTGAAACAAACTTCTCAGGACTGTGTCAGAGATCAGAGCAGTCGAGTAAGGCGAAAGTCGCTTTCCGATGAAGTAAGACAGAAATGACGGTTCTACACAAGGCGTGTCTAACTTCTAAAATTTGGCGAAGGGTAAGCATGTGGTCGATACAACCTCGACCAGGTCTAAAACCACCCTTATTCTCACATGGGCACTCTACACAACCGACGGAATATAATACCAGAGAGAATTTTAGACATGATG